GACGTGTGCTCTTCCTATTTGTTGGTTTCTATTGGTATCTATTTCCTGTTGCTTATTTTTAAGCATTTCTTTCTTATAATGCTCATTAAGCAGTTCAACTACATTTTGAGCTATTCCAGTTTTGTTATTGTTTGGTAAAACAATAACAAATATAATTTGAGTTGGTTTCTATTGGTATCTATTTCCTGTTGCTTATTTTTAAGTATTTCTTTCTTATAATGCTCATTAAGCAGTTCAACTATATTTTGAGCTATTCCAGTTTTGTTATTGTTTGGTAAAACAATAACAAATTTAATTTGAGTTGGTTTCTATTGGTATCTATTTCCTGTTGCTTATTTTTAAGCATTTCTTTCTTATAATGCTCATTAAGCAGTTCAACTACATTTTGAGCTATTCCAGTTTTGTTATTGTTTGGTAAAACAAATGTTTTCATTATTTTATTACCATTAGCATTATAAACTTTTGCGCGTAATTTTAGGCACGATCTTATACTTTTTGTAGCATTGAATCTCATTTTAAAAGTATTATCTGTAAAATTTTCATGATATATATAATTAGTATTCCTCAACAATTTCAACAAATAAATAAATTCGATAAGGAAAAAGAGAAAATAAATAAATTTCTAATTGATTTTTAAAGCATATTATTAATAATATTATGCACAGTGAATCTGACTTTTACTAGTATGTTATTTTCACAAATTGTTTATTGGAACTTTTCACTTATTCCGAAGAACATAAAGGGCAGAGTTACTTACTTTATATGCAGATTTAAATGCAATAAATTTGTAATAATTACAGTCGAATAATTTATTGCAATTATTTTCACAATCCAATAACAAGAATGATCACAAATATGTCAGCCTAACTGCGATTGCCACTCCGAAAGATGCGTCTTACCACTTTGAAAGATCGTTGAATACTAACTACAGTGTTCGGATATCACAAACATGTCATATTTAGAATCGTGTCGAATATAAATAAAGTTATCCTTCAGTTTCAAGGTGAAAAAGAAATACCTAGTAACGTACCCATACAGCACGCGTCGATCCTGAACGCCGCACAGTGGTGCAAACGCAAAATGTTCTGTTCAAAATAGGCTACAGGTCGTATTTCTTAACCGATTTGAATGTTTCTTTAAAAGAAACACAGAAAAATTGTCAAGCTTTTTCCGTTTAAAAAGATCGGATTATCCTTTTAAAAAGTAACAAACGAATATTTACGATCAACTTGGTCGGATAAAAAATCCGATCTTTATCGGAAATATATTAATCGGAATGTCAAGAGAAATATCCACTCATTTCTTTTTCAACGGATAATCCGATTGATTACATTTACGCATATATTTTTGATCGGAAATTTGCAAGCGATTAATTTTTTATTTTTAAGTCAAAAAGATATCTATAACATGTACATCTTTACATTTCCAAGTTTATGAAAAAACAGACAAAACGTGTATAAAAACGACAAATGAGTAAAATATGGAAAAATAAACGTAAGCAACACGTAATAACTTAAAATGATATAATATTCGCGGATAAGTTTATGCATCGTGGTGCTACAGAGTTATAATCGAAAGTAAGATAAAGAACTTTATGAGAAGAGATGAAAGTCAGATATCTTTGACAAAATCGATGCGCAAAGCATGACAGTATAATATATATTCTGTGTTCAGTATTCAAGAATGGAGATTTCATGTTTTTTATATATGTATCTTATAGTGCTGTATGTGTTGTGTTCTTAAATAACATTTTATTAATTTATTATAGACATTATAATTAATAGGTTTTGTTTACTCAGCAGAAGTGTTAGTTTATACGGTTTCTTGCAATTGTATGTTACAAATTATTTTGTTATAAATTGGAATAAATATCTACTTATTTTTTTTTATTAATTAATGGACTTACCTCTTTCCCCAAAAGCAAAATAAGTAACAAGAAATGAATAAAGCCAGCTAGGTATAAAAAAAATATTTTTGCATCGTATTTAAATATTTGTTTATGTTAACTCTTTCTACATTAGTTAAATTAAGATTTCAATTCGAGACGTTC